TTTAGCAAATGGCTGCAATATAACAAAGAGTGAAAAATTTAAGGGGGTCTGAATACTTTCCGTACCCACTGTACATTCATCCATACAGCAATCGCAACCGCTACTCAGACTGTAGGGTGCCTGGCCTCTGTTGCTAAGCGACAAATTGCTTTTCCTGTAAGGGCATTTCCCCCCATTACAAAACAATATTTGTACAATACCAATAACGGATGACATCATTTCTAAGTGCAAAACATTTTTGCAAACAAACATTTCTAAAATGTGGCCTCCATATATCTCTAGTTCACGATATTCAGTTGTTTACAAGCGCTGGCACTACGAGAAGCTGTTGACAGCTAGCTATTATTTGAAGCGCAATAAAGTGCATCAGGACGGAGATCGAGCATGAATCAGTCAGCCAAACTGACATGCTATTGGTTCCACATTAGTGATACTCAAAAGATGCTCAAGGTGAGGCAAAAGGTAAAAGCTTCTAGTCCAGCCTTTCAAACCCCCAACAACCTCACGCTATTGATTCAACGTGTCTCCAATTCAGTGGTTGTCATGGAGAATCACTTGTGTGTTTTCCAGAGAGAGCTAACAATACCTTGTAATATATACAGAAATCCATATATGCATTACACTTTTAGTAATGCGCTTTGCAATATTGATATTTATAGCCAGATTTGAGCTAAATGGTGCATTTATGCAAGATACAAAACAGTGCCATGATTCTGTGGTAGTATCAGATATACTATAGTATCTCAGTACAGTAAAATATTGTTTATATACCATAATGCAGTTTGATAGCCATAGACATATCATGGGATGTAATTGGTGATGTTATATCACAATATTTTTAAACTGTTTTATAATTATTTATATATTATTATTGTGTGTATAATGCATAATGTTTTTTCATATTTAATTTTTTTGTACGATATAGTTTGTATCTATGTGTATACATAGTATCATTTATATTAAAGTATATCAATACTACTGTAAAATTACAGTATATTAATTATAGTGTATATAGTATAGAATTATAGTATCAATTATATTAGTATAATATATTAAAGTATATAATTTATAGTATATTTCATGGTATGTAAGTGGTTCTGCTATATCATTATATTTTTTTAATTGTTTTTTATTATTTATATATTATTATTGTTCGTATAATGTATAATATTTTTTATATTTTATTTTTGTACTGTATAGTTTGTATCTATGTGTATATATATATATATATAGTATCAGTTATACTACAGTATATCAGTACTACAGTAAAATTATAGTATATTAATTATATCATATATAGCATAGAATAATAGTGTTAATTAAATTAGTATGTTATATATGTTAAGTATAGTATATAAATTATAATGTAGTAATTATAGTATTTCATGGTATGTAAGTGGTTCTATCATATTTTTATATATTATATATATAAACAATTATATATTGTTTTTGTATAATTCATAAAAAGTATTTTTGTGTACAAATATAAAAATGTCTAAATTTTTCTATATATTTTACTGTATAGTTTGTATGTATGTGTGTGTGTGTGTGTGTGTGTGTATATATATATATATATATATATATATATATGTGTGTGTGTATTTATTATATACTTTATATAAGACACACACACATATTTGTATAATGTTCAATATAATGTGCGATTTATGATCATGTATGATGTAACGTAGATGTGTCATCTAGCTTTCCGCAATTAAATATTTAATATAATGGTCAATAAACAAACTCTTTTCAACATATATGTGCAGGTCTTTTCATTCTCACATAATTAAATAATTAATAATAATTAAAAATAATTAGCACACGTCAATATCTCTTGTCCATTTATTTATTTATTTGCTAAGTAGCTGTGTAATAACTGGAATAATGTTCAGCCATTCAGTCATTATCAAGAAAAACTCTTCTGGGGTTTATTTGGCCATAATGACTGCACATTATCGCTTACGCTTCAATAAGTGATCAGACTTCCTTTGTTAGAGGAAATTACACGTTTATTAATGCACACCACGTACGAATGCTAGAGCAGTCGGTCTATACCTGCCGCTATAACCGCAGCATACTAAACATGCCTGTACAAACAGTGAGAGGCTGAATGACAGCTTTCTTTCATTCCTCCCATATCGCTCTCGTTCATTTCTCCCTCTTTGTGTGTGTCTTTTTTTATTTCAACACCCATTAGTCAGTACTATTGCCTTTGTCACCATGGAAACTGGACTAGCCATGTCTTCCCCGTAGTCTAGTCTTCTCTAGTTCCCTCTCCCTGGTGGGCGGTCTCTGTTTCTTTCCTCTGATGGACACCTCACCTGCCCTATACGCACGCCAGAATATCTGTACATCTCTCGCCATATTCACACTACAGGTTACATAACAGCAAGCCTGCCTTAAACAACATCTGTGAATGCCAATGTAAATATATACTGTAGTAACTGCATAGAGTCACCAACCAAGTGCTTTCTTTTTTTTTTTAATGAGAGCTGCCCACAAAATCATCCCTACTTTCAAAGTGGATGTTCAGGCTTATTCAGAAGGAAAGGACTTCCTGCGAGAGTATGCAACATCTGACCTTCTGTGTGCCGCTTTATGAATAATAGCAGTGTTTCCAAATGCACTGCAACACAAGTAGTTTTTTGAAAGCTTCCTACAGTGTATTATACCGTTTTCTGCACCGTTTCCAGGTGAAGCTGGATGAAAGTGGGGTTCGAATACAGCTGCAAAGCCACGTCTCCGCACTCACACTGCATACATAATTTGAAAATAAGTGGCGTGGCTGTGAGCGCCGTGTACGTGCACGAGATTCCCACTGTCAAGCATCAGCCATGTCACATAACAGAGCGTCCGCACAGCTTGTGTTGGCATTCAAAATACTCTCCTCCATGGTGCGGTTGGACGCTGGTCAACAGCGTTTGGAATAGCAAGCGGTCTCTTGGGAAGTGGGCAAATCTGAGTGCGTTAATGCAAGAACACGGAGCGGTTCTCGAAAAGTGTTGAAAAGAAGATCTGATGTATTTTCCACTCCATTTGGTTCCATTCAAATCAGTTCCCAAGAGTTCCATCATAGCAATTAAATCTCGGAATGGTTATTTGAATGAACGCTTCCATGTTGGTGAATCCGTTAAAACATGGCATTGCAAAACAGTGGTGATGCAATCCACTAGTCATAGTGCATCTTTACACTCTCGGAAGCGCACACACAAACTTCCAGCAACATCACTTGTGAAACACAAACACACACACACACACACACACACGCAGGCAAAGCTGTGAAGACAGTGGCACAAAACACTGAGCAGATGTGTTTCACATCTGCGAAACACTTTAGGGAAACAGTCAACCACTGATTTGAAATCCCAGGGGCCAGATCTGCAAAACTCGCGCATCCTGGCTCTTTCTGATTGATGTTATTATTAAAGCTGTGACTGATGCATATAGAGCGTCTCTTCTATACGTCAGCTGTGTTGGTGTCTGTGTGTGAGAGCAATACTCACAGTGATTTTGGTCTCCTTGATCTCCTTCTCCTTATTCTGCCTCCTGGCCGGGGAGGTGGACCCTGGGCTCTGAGGGGACAGACAGGAGGCATCATCAAAACTGCCCTCTGCATCAAAGATTTCCTCCATCTCCATTGCTCTGTGCCTCTCTTTCTTTCTTTCTCTCGCTGTCTCACTCTTTTTGCACTTTCGCGCCGCTGCTCTGCCACACCGCTCGACTTCCACACACAGTCTGACTGCCTGGCTGTGTTGCTGTGGCAAGCAATGCAGAGTGGAGCGTGTGTGTGGTGGGGGGCGGCGGT